AGAAAACGCAAACTTCGAAAATTTCTGGCATCTCGACCGATACTCTTACGCCAATTGTTTTTGCGCCAATATAATTCGGTAGGATAAAAGTTCAAATACGAAAATTTTCCGCGCCAATAAACCAATAATTTTACGATATCTCTACGGATGGTGGACGGACGTCGAAACCTTGACTCGAATGCGGAATTCTTCGCGTGACTGAATTTATTATACGCTCGCCTACAATTACATAGACGTTCGTTCGTCCCGAAAGAGGAGAAAACTAAGATTCCGTTTTCGTAGGAGGATTGGTAAGTAAAAAAAAAAAAAGAAAAAGAACAAAAAATCGAAACGCGAAATCGATACTTGCGCCCCGTTCGAAGTTCGTATCGCTGTTATCCGGCAAATATATATTGCACGATTGGAAATTCTCACTTACACAACGTGTATGGTAATTTAAGGGATGGTCGGATCGTTGCATGACCGTCTCATCCTGAATAAATAATGCTCTACCGATAGTTTCGACACTCTATTGGCTCTCCATCGAAGGGGATTAACGTTAAACGGATAGGCAGTTTCTAAACTGCGATATCTTTTCCGAACGATCGATTTTCGATCTTTCGAAAATTTTCCTTCCACAATTTCTTTTTTTTTTTTTCCATCCCTTAACGCGAAAACGCGTAAATCCAAGATGGAGAAAAAGATCGGCTATCTTTTAACTCAAAGCTTTTTCGAGGTTTTCGAGGAGAAGGGGAGCTTAGCAGAGAGGGAGAGAAGAAACAAGGGGACGTTTGAAAAAAAGTTCAAGCCGCACAAAGAAAGAATATATCCTTTGGAGGAAACGTTTTCGTTTGCTTTATTTCCAATCTTCTTTGTCGACGAAAGCGAAAAACCTGTTATTTCTCCGACTGTTCCCCCGCTTCATTGTCGTTTATTCGATTAAGTAATTTTGGGAATGAGTCCCCGTCGCGCGGAGCGAGAAACCAACGAGGTTGACCCTAAAATTTTCTCGGGAAATTGCATTAATGCCGTGGCGACCTTTGAAATTTCATTGGAATATCTTTTCTCAGAGATCTCTGAGAAACGGTGTCATACCAGAGCTTTACGTACGTTTTTCCCGACAAAGAAACATTTCTTTTGTCTTTTGCGAAACGTAATAATTTTCGAACGAATTAATATCCGAGAAATCGTTTTACCATTCTTTGTTTTGCCATTCTTTTCCCCTCTTCTCGAAGGATATTAATTCTTAAGTCGATCGAAATATTTCGTTTCGATTCAGATCGATATAATTCGATTGTCAATACGTTAATTTCGTTTTCAACAAATACGAATTACGAGTATGTACGTTTTTTTTTTGTTCGTACAAAAAAGAAAGGAACGAAACGATATTCAGAGGTTTTTCAAACTAGGCGTCGAGTTAATTTGCGCGGCAGTGAATATTTGCATAGTACTTCTCATCCATTTTGCTCTCGTTTATCTTCGCCTTCGAGAATAGTTTCTCGAGTTGGACGTCATCGACTTTTTCTTCCTCCTCCTCCTCCTCCTCCCGAAGAAGTGGAGTATTTTCACCGATTACCGTGCCCCTCGTTTACATAACAAATCTAGTCCCCTAATCAATTTTTTCAATATAAATTTTAATTTAATCCCTCTCAGATATATATAAAAATCATCTTAGAGATATTTATTTTCAAAAAGTTTGCAGGGACGACGGAAACAAATTAAACAAACATTTTCCACTTCGCGTAAATCATCCCTATGATTTTATTCCTTTTTGGCAACCATAACGCGTCTCGGGACACGAATTCGTTCCACCAGAATTTTATCGACGCTCTTCGTTTTCCATCCTACGCGATTTCTTTCGACCTTGCCTCCCACTCTCCATCCCCCTCTATTCTCTCTCTCTCTCTCTCTATTATTCACCTTCCTTCCAAAGGAGATAAATTCCAGTTGTCGCCCATTCTTTCGAATTCGTGAATTCGTTTTATACGGGAAACTGGGGATAGTTGTCGAGCGAGGGGAGGGAGGGAGGGAGGGAGAAAGACGGTTCGGTGACACGACAATTATATCGCCGTAAGCGAAACGACCGATCGTTGGAATATCGATGAGCGTACAGGCGGACGGTGGTGAATACGCATTATGCATAGGGTGCACACTCGAAAGAACACGTACACACAGAGAGAGAGAGAGACACGCGCGATAACAATTTGACCCCGTTCAGATAATAATGGCGCGTACCTCGTAACTTAACCGTAGGTAGACACAGCGGTCTAATATTTTCTTTATTAAGCGCCAACTGGCTCACGAACCGCGATAAATCCTCGCTGATTTGTCAGTGAATATATAACCGGCCAGTTCCCCCGTTTTCTAAATCGCTCTCGTGGCGCGTTATAATTTGTTATAAACGTAACGAAGTGTAACGTCGTGGGGGATAATGATTTGAACGATTTATCGGGGGGGAGAAAAAAAATGCGTGGATAAAAATTTATCGTTGAAAAATCGTAGAATCGCGATGAACAACTTACTACACACGATCGATTCAAGAATCCCTTCCTCCTCCCCGATTCTCTTGCGAACGAAGGATTATTATTATCATCCGACCGAGTCGGACAAGAAAATAGCGTAATGTTCTCGAGTCTTGGTTTTTCGCGGGAAGAAGCGAGTCTGGATTGAGATAAATACATCCCCCTTCCACGATCCATCGAGTTAATGCTCTTCTCGCGCCATCCTTTGCTACCGTTGTTCCGGTCACCTCTTTCCGGCAAATATCTTTTCCTCGCTCTTCGCTCGCCTTCTGTTTCACTTACGTCCTCTCCGTTATTTCCCGTCGCAACAGATATCACGGTTATTTATCGTTGAACGGTGTCGTCATTTTTCACGGACCGTATTACGTACGTATACGAGCGTGTGGCGGGACCCACCACCCGCGGGATACCTGGTCGAAACAACTTTTTGAAAAATCAGCCTCGAGGGTGTCTCGTTTCCACGCTCGGATACTACGAGAAAAGATTGATGGAGAAGCATTGGATCGATTTCGCGTTTACCAGGAATTCCGCGTATTTTTCCTTCACTTTCGATGGCTTTGATTCGTAACCAAATATCGTTATCGATAATATTAATAAAAGTAAGTAAAGCGATATTCCTAATATTTGTTCGTTTCGAGTTATTTTTTTCATACGTTCGTAATATCGTTAAGAGTATCGTTAATACGAATAGAGATGATCGAAGAGTAAGACGTAATTTTTTAACGAAGCTTGTTCGTTCATATATTTTTACGTGTCGTAATGATAATTTTGAAAGAAGATAGAGGATTGATACCAGTCATTCCTGTTCCATTAACGATATTTTAACGTTATAGATATATCAAAAGCTATCGATAGATGTCGTTATCGATAATATTAATAAAAGTAATTTTCGAATTATTCTATTTCTCCTTCGTATTTGGATATACTTTTTGATACGTTCGTTTGTATAATATTTTTACATGTTAATGATAATTTCGAGTAGAAAAAAAAGGATAGAGGATTGATACCAGTCATTTCTCTCTTCCATTAACGATATTTTAACGTCATCGATATATCAAAAGCTATATCGATAAGATATCGATAATCGATAGTCGACCAAAGGCTCATCCCTTTTGTTCAGTGGAGTTCGAAGGGCGAGCTGCGTTCGAGGACGGCGGACGTTCAGCTTTAAAGTTTAACGGGCGATAGTAAGTAGGATTTAATTAAAGGGACAACGGTAGACGCGAATTCTTTCGCGTTGAACCGATCCATTCCATTACCTGTCCGTGAAGTTTTCATTTTACCATTTGCCCGAATCGTTTTCGCGAACGTGTGTGCGCGTAATTAAATCGCGTTGTTTGCATACCTTCCGCTTTCTCCTGAAACTTTGTCGCCAAACATTATTCGGCGCATCCATTCGCGATGCAGGAACGAACGGCACGCCGGAAGTTACGCCGGTGATTTGTCATCGTGGCTTTAAAAGCGTACGAATGAAACGCCGCGGCCTTTGCCGATTCCCCGCTTTCCGTTAAATGGGTCCGTTTAGAAAAAAATAGGTCGAAACGGAAGTTTTTATCATTTCGTTTGTTTGTCATTGATAGATTCGATTTCTAATTCTATTATAGAAAACCGTACAATATTCCAAATTTTCCATCGTTCGTGCGAAAATTTTTTAATCGAATTTCGACAATTCTCCGATCCTAGGCTATTTTACTCTGATTTTACTAGTTTTTAATCGTAGCGTCAGAGAAAAAAAAATGATCGGTGAAATGGAATAATTTTTTAATCGAATTTCGAGAATCCTCCGATCCTAGGGACTTTTAATTTTACTCGGACTTTTTAACTTTTACTAGTTAATTAGGAGAGAACACTATGCGATTGGTGAAATAATTTTCCAAACGATTCTCCATCGTTGTTCCGAGAATTTTTTGATCGGATTCTCCTTTTTACTCGGATTTTACTAATTAATCGTGGCATCAGAAAAAACACTATGATTGGTGAAACGGAATAATTTTCCAAACGATTTCTATCCTTCGGTCCGAGAATTTCTCCCCTTGTAGTCGTTTTAGCGAAATTGATTATCGATGCAGACCACCCATGTCGCCCTAAGATTATCCCGTTTTATCCGAGATTTTCCGGTTTAATAGGACCCTTGAGGCCTCCTCGTCCTCGTCATTCGGTTTTCCTATATTTTCTTCCTCGTCGTCCACTAATTGCTCGGATAGATACGTTCAGGCATTACTCTTGGATTCGATAATCCCAAATTTCGCGTAATCACTCGGAAGATACACGCGTGCCTTTAACTCTCCTGCGCGATTACCGTTAACCCATTAACGCCAACGATCGAAATAGATTTACCTAATGTCTTATCACGATCCGTTTCGAACGCCACAGATTCCTCTGTGGATACGAAAAAGAAGACAAGAGGAAGAGAGAGAGAGAGAGAGAGAGAGAGAGAGAGAGAGAGAGAGAGAGAGAGAGAGAGAGAGAGAGAGAGAGAGAAAGAGAGAAAGAGCTTACCTACGAAAATCTCTGCTCCAGCAGGCGTATATGACCGGATTCATTCCGCTGTTTATCCAACCCAGCCACGTAACAGCGGCGAACACGATCTTCTCCTGCCATATGCACTGGGAGCAAAAGCCCGACCAGAGGTTGACGACGAAGAAAGGGAGCCAACAGATGATGAAGACGCCCATCACGATCCCCAACGTCTTGGCCGCCTTCTTCTCCTTGGCGAACTTGGCCAGTTTTCGGGACAGGGAGAAATTGTTGCCCCTGTGCTGTTTATTGATCCTCGTGGACGGGACCCTGGTTAAACAGTTGTTGTGCTGGACGGTAGTGAGCGGCTCCTCGAGATCCTGGAGGTCCTCGGGCGTGCTCGAGGCGGTGCGGAACAGGTGTCTCGCGTCGGTGTTGGTTCCACCGCCCCGATGTATCCTCAGAGTGAGCTCCAATTCACCGGAGGCCATCAAAACTTGCTTGGTGCCCAGTTTCAGGCTCTTGGTCTGGATCACGGCCGCCCTGTATATCTTGTAGTAAGTGAACACCATTACGAACAGGGGTAAGTAGAAGCTGATGGTCGACGAGAAGATGAGATATCCGAGGTGCTCGGTGAACGGGCACTTGTCCTCGGGCACCTCCTCCGTTCGCACGGCCCTCCACCACACGATCGCCGGGAACGAGATGGCGCTCGAGCAGATCCACACGATCGCGATGAGTATGGCGGCCCGTTTCCTGCTCATCTTGCTCGGATAGGTGAACGGGTCGGTGATGGCCCAGTAACGATCCAGGCTGATGACGCACAGATTGAGGATCGACGCTGTGGAGAACAGGACGTCCAACGAGCGCCACACGTCGCACCAGTCGGTGGTGAACAGCCATCGGTTCTCCAACACCTCGTAAATGGCGCTGAACGGCATCACGACCAACCCGACCAGGCAATCGGCGAACGCCAACGAGGTGACGAAGTAATTGGTCGCCGTGTGGAGATACCTCTCCCTGACCACGGCGAGGATCACCAACGTGTTGCCGAACACGGTCGCCACCGAGAACAGGAACAGGAGTACGGCCAGGCCGGCCC